AAAGACCCACCTGTCACTTGATGTTGTCTGATTTGCCTCTGACTTGGACTGAGCTCAGGATGATAGTGTTCTTAAAAACATCAGTGCTCCAACTACAGGTTACTCTAGTGCGAGCCAACATAAGTGACAAAGACTCCTGAGTAGGTGTCAAAACAGTTTAATAAAAATGAGTAAAAAGGCCAGTTGCCTCTGGATAACTTTGCATTTACACAGGTCTGAAAAGTCAAATCTCAGGCCAAGTTAGAGCCTGGGTCTCAATCTTCTTGAGATGTGTCGGGGTAATTTAAATGGGTTGTATTTTCAAGAAACATCTAAAAACATTCCGACTGAAACTTAGGAATAAGCAAACATCGCTCAGTAAAGTTCTGGAAGATGGCTACAAAACTATTACACTGAATTTCTTTTAACCAAAATGGTAAGACTAGCTATTATGGAAGGTTCAGCTCAATTTTCTCTTTGTATGAGTATCTCCTTTGTAAAATTAGCAAAACAATGAATCTTTTTTAGGTGTTGGCATATTTGATTTATTTTTCTTTTTTTTTTGTTTCCTTCAGATAAATAAAAATGATTACACATTATCACATTGTGATGTGAACACCCATGGGGTGTTCGAATGTTTTATATTTTGTTATAAACTGTAGTTTTCCCAGCAAAGCTCTAGCTTGGTGATTTGGTTTAAAATATATAATTTTTTAGCTTAAGGCTGAGTTTAGAGATTGTGGTGTGTTTCTCCATTTTAATAATGATAACTATTAACTTTAGAATGCCATTGCTATACAATGGACATGAGCTGTTTTGCGTGTGGGATGTTTAGACAAAGAAGTAGAATCTGTTGAACAAAATTGTTTAACATCTATGGTTTTGGTTAAGGCCTCAACAGGTCTTTAGAAAATTGTCTGGGCGAGCACAGGACTGATGACTTCAGCTGTGAGGGTTGTTATAATAATCTTGTTCTCGTCTTTGCAGAGGCAAACAAAGTGCTGATTGCTTCGCCAACATCCCTTTATTTAACTGAAGTTGCATATGCATTTTTTTTAATCCAACAACAATATAATATAATGTCACTTAATTTAGGGAGTAAGGTGCATGTGTAGTTGCAGCAGGTACCTATTTAGTAATTTTATCCAGGTGATGAAAATTATCAGTAAAGGGCTCTGGAGAAACTCTGTCTGACAGGTCAAAGTAAACTGTGCTAATAGCTTTGCTGCAGCTATGTAGTGGCCAAGCACACCACATTTCCTCCTACAGTATGTACAGTTAAGTACAGTGAAGTTGAAAGTCCAATATGCGGAGCCTCCATAATCAGTCAGCTATAATTTCTTACACATTACATTAAAGGTTATCCTACTCCTAATAAAAATGTTCTCCATAATATCACTTTAGGGTTAATAAGTAAATGCATTTATCCAAGAATGGAAAATGACAACTTGTTATCTTAACTGTCTATGACTCTTTTATGTGTGAATCACAACTTATACTCTAAAAAAAGCAGTCTATAGTTAGCAATGGATTTGTCTCTTGGCTTTACTTTCATTCCAAAAATCCTTCTTAGACAGATGTAGATAGGCTCCAGAATTTAAGATCCAGGTTTAATGGTTGAACCTCTGAGAAGCTGTGTGTGGGTCCAGATGGTGAATCCTGAAGTTTGGAATCAGTTCTACTGGCAGGATTTAGTCTTAACCTTGAATGTGACAGCTGAACTCTCTTTGGCAGCCTCCTCAGAAGTCACACAAAAAGTCCTAAAAAGACACACCGACTTAAATTAAAATTAGTTTACAACTTTTTCCATTTCAGGACACCAAGTTGTAGAGGAATATCTATCAATAACCTTATCTGACAAATTTACATTTTCAAATCTACAGGAAACATACTAGGAGTACAACCACTAACATGAAAATATAATATAGTGGATTGGCAAAAACAGATAGAATACAAAATTGCAAAACAACAGCACATAATTTTAAAATTTGCGAGAAATCTTATAATACAAAGCATTTAACTGTTAAACACATTTAGATTATATTTTATTTTTTCTAATTTACCGATTGGTGTGCAGAATTGGTTTAAAATGATTTAATGCTATTATTAAAACATTTCCAAATGCCTAAATTATCTTATTACATTAAGTTTTTCTTCTCAAAAATAATGATTTTTCTAAAATAATCGAACTCATCTGAATTGGATAAAGGAAGGAATAGATATTTGTTTCATTTTCACACCATCTAGTTTTGTTTTAAAACAAAAAAGTAAAGATATAGCATATACAGACTAAATATGAAAAAAGGTTCCTGATGTTGAGCACTGTCACAGAAATTTTTCATCAGCAGTTCACTTATATTTCAAAAGAAAGAAATTAGCAAAAAGGTTTTATATATTTGAATATAATTTCAAGCCATGTGTCATCTTTGTTTGATCAAATAAGTACAAGTGGAAGGAAATATAATGAATAATAATATTAATCTGCTCTGTTTTCTTTCATAGTTTTGATCATAAAAACAATGGTACCATCTGGATACAACAGGTGAGTATTAAGGAATGAAGCCAAAATCACTATAATGTGTTTTCCTCAGTGACCAAGGCCATCATTTGCATTACATATTTAAACAAAGCAAAAATTATTTAGAATTTATAATGTGTATACTTTTATGGTTAGATTTGAATGTTGACTACTATCTCTAAACACGAATTTGTATGTATGATGATTTTTAAATATCATTGTCAAAAAACGAAACTCTGACCCACGGCAATTACTTTATGTATTGTTGCCTTTCTCCAACAACTCTTAGCCCAGAGGAGAGAGTGGGTGGTACACCTTAGGCAGCACGCCTAAGGTGCTTTAAAAAAAAGAAAAAAAGAAACTTCCATGCACACAAGGAATACTACAAGTAATTTGCAGAAACCAATTTACCGAAAAGTCTTTTTTTTTTCACTGTGGGAGGGAGCCTGAGTGGGGCTCAGTAAAGAGAGAATAGAGTGGAATAAAAAGATGGTAAAGAAGTGCATTGCTGGTTTCATTTGGGTTTCCAAAACTAAGATCTAAGTTTCATTTATAAGTAAGCCCATAAAAGCCTGTTCTTCATGTGCATTAGAAAAAAAAAAAAATAATAATGAAAAAAATAAAAAAGCCAGAATACATACTACAGTTCAAGCTTTCATAGCAAATGTGGATGTTATCTTATGACCTAGCATATATTAGAAAGGCTATCTAATTAGAATAACAGACATTGAATAGATTTAGCCAGGACAATATTGAAGCTAAATAGATATTGTACAAGCTATTCCACTGACTGTACACTGGCCTAATGGAGAAGAATATACTAATGTGGCAATTACCACAGAGCACTAAACGGCACATTTTATGCTTGCAGTCCAGACTAAACTCCTTTTGGAGAAGACGGCATCAATTATTTAAATCAGATTAATGAGTGCAGTACATTTTGTGTCCCAAAAGTCATTATAAAGCCAGAGAAGCAACAGAGGTGTGCATGATCACACGGACATACAATCATTTACAGAAGCTGATTGTATTTCCTTGCTCTTACCGTTTCCATCCTGGCCTTGTATTTTACACATTAACTTTTCACCTCATAAGGTCTTTCATTAGTCTCATGGTGCATCACTTAGAGTTGATCTTCTCTCTCCCATTTATATGCTCTGATATTAGAATCCTCATTGGTGCTTTTGGTTTTCTGATTCTTTGTTTTTTTTTTTTCATTATTATTTCCAACCTTCCAACATTGGTACAACTAATATAGTAGACCACTAAAATGTAATCTAAACTGAGTAGGAATGATGAAATGTGGGTGCCACTCTTCATTCTTTTTCATTTCTATCTCTTTAGAATTGCTGTAGAAAATAAATGTTTAGCAACCAGAAAAAATGCAATAAATGCAGAGGATGCAGACAGCACAAAGATGTCAACATCAATAAGTGATTCTACTAAAAAAGCAAAAGACAAGCAACTGAGCCACTTTGAGAAAAGTACATTTGCCAAGAGGCCTTCTACAGCACATT